AGGAGGGACTTGACCCTCTTCTCTCTCTCTCCACTATATCACATGGGTTTTGTCCCCCTCTTTTCGTTTCTTTTTATTTTACTATTATCTACCCACTCTTCTTTTCTTTAAACATAAAACCCTCTCTCCCCTCATTCATTTTATTATTATTATGCACAAACTCCGAATCCAAAATCCATGTGCTCTTTGACCCTTTTTATCCATCCTTCCCCCCCACACACACACATATAGATTTTGCTTTCTTTTCATTAGTTTATACATTTTGCTTCCTTTTTCATTAGTGGTAGGACCCGCCCAAACAAAACACTCTCCCATTTTTTTTTTTACCAATTTGAATATCACCTTTCTTTTTTTCTTTTTTTTATTCCTTTACCATTCACATACAAAAGAAAAAAAAAAAAAAACACAAAAAAAAAAAACCAAAAAACAAAAAAAAGAAGACGACTTGCACACCAAACTCCTTTTATTCATGTCGGGGCTCACCCCGATCACCATTTTACATTCCAAAAAAAAAAAAAAAAAAAAAAAAAAACCCAACACCACAGTGAGTAAAAAAAAAAAAAACAAACACAAACAAAACACCCACACCCACAGTGGGATTTTTCCCTTCTCTACTCTGCTGCCGGTCTCTTCTTCTTGCCTATGTCCTGGGCGGCCCTTGACGGTGCTGCCTCCGTGTTTCCCACGCCACCGAGCACGTTCACTCCCCGCTGCTCCTCCACTGCAGCATATGGCGGATCTCCAAATCGGAACATCACGGTGGCCTTCCGCTTCAGCTCCTTGTTTTCCGCTTTTAGCACTCATATCTCTGCTCGCGCATCCTTATACATGCACTGGAGCAAAGCCAGTTGGGCATTTAACTGCTGCACCTCATTTGTCCTATTTTGAAGCCGGTGCGACAGGTTTGTGACCGCAGTCATGGTCTCCACGCATGACTTCAATGTATATTGATTGGCCTCAATATCTGTTTGTGCTGCCATTCTTTGCTCCACAGACCGCATAGGAAAGGTCAGCGGAGCAAACTCAGGGGCACTTGGTTGAGGTTCACGGGCAACCGCACCGGTTATCTCTCTTGTGGACTCGTTGAGGTCGGGAAAGAGAGTGAGCAGACCACGGGAAGAAGAGGCCATGTTCTGGGTAGCTGAACGGGAAGAAGAGGCCATGTTTTTGGGTTGCTAAGTGTTTCAGCGAAGCAGCGATTTCCGACTGGTACTTTCAGAGAAGGATTGGTTACAAAGTGTTTACAGAGTATTTCAGAATGCAAATGTTCGGCAGTTTCAGACTGGTTTGCACAGCCTCTGCCTCAACCTTGGTTAAATAGCCAAGGCAGACACGCGCATCATGCGCCGCTCGGCGCTTGACGACAACATGGGCGCGCTTTTTGATGGCACGCCTTTTTATGGATTGGGCACGCCTTTTGATGGCACGCCTTTTGAAAAATTGGGCGCACCTTTTGAGGGTGCGACTTTTTAAGGGGTCCGACAAGACTCTGTAAACTGTCCCGACATTGATTCCGGTTAGCTTTTATATGGGTCTGGCAAGACTCCATAAACTGTTCCGACATTAATTCCGGTTAGCTGCTACAACGGTCCGACACGACTATACAGTGTCTTCTACAACGGTCTGACACGACTATACAGTGTCTCATATCCTATTTTTATTTTATTTTCTGTTTTGTTACTCTCTCCAAACTCAAGTTGGTTGGTTCCTATCCTCCTTGAGTTTGAGGGGGGCTGTTAGAATATAATATGTAAAATGTTGCTTTAATAATTAGGTTAGTATAATAATTAGTATGCTTTAATAATGTACCTTTAATAATGTTGTTTGGTTTGTGCTTCTATTTTCGGTTTGTAATTGTTCTCCCTCTCCTCTATAAAGGAGAGAGCTCAACACACCATTATATACATCTATCAATAATACATATAATTTATTCTCTCTCTATTTCTCTTTATACATTAAATTTTACAGAAGGCACACTCATCAGAAGCCAGAGACCTCGTAATAATCAGAAATCTGACGGGTTCAAGTGTAATAAACCCAAAATAAAACAAATTGGCAAACTAGGGGTCGAAGGGTAATAACCAAAAAAGCTGAGGGGTAAGCTACAATATAGAAATACAAACTAGAGGGCTAAACTCAGATGGGTTACAACTAGACTTGACCCAGAGAAAGAGAACTAGATTTTGAAACAAACCAGATGGGTCGACTACAAGAACCATATGAGTGAATGGTGGTGAACGACGATGACCCAACATCGCAAGTCCGGTAATAGGCTGATGTTGCGATTCCAAACCAAGGTGAACCAGAGAACTTTGAACTAGAGAACTCCGATCGACCGAAACCAGAGAGACAGAGAGAGATCGAAGATGAACCATACACCTTCCAGTCATGATTCGATTACAATCAAGATCGAAGACCCTACAATCACCGACTCGCGTATCACGAACTAGAGATACTACTAGCAAGAACCAGAGATGAACACCCATAGCAGAACTCAAGAATCCTAGAACCAGACTCGAGCGCGATTGAGGGAGAAGATGACCCACAACCTACGACTCAGAGAGATGAACTCGAGAACAAGTTTCAACCTACAAATCAGAGAGAGCTAACAACTTCCAAGATTCCAGCGATGGCTCTGATACCATGTAAGATTTCTGAATGTTTTCTATATATTCAAAATTGTCAATCAATACAATGTGTACATCTGATATATATCAATTCTATGCCAATTCCTAAATAGAAAACAAGAATAAACCTAAACCAAAATATTCACACAATCTAACATAACCTAAAATATTTACACAACAATATATACTAATATTATTCTCACATTATCTCTAGTCTCTATATCATTAAAAGAGAGTGCTTATTCCTCTCTCCATACACACAATATCAAGCACAAAGACACCGCCATCTATGCTTTCTTCACCCTTTTCACATGACACCTTCCTGCTCAACACTCATACAAATGCAGCACAATATATTAATCTTGAGAACTTATCTATTCTATGTTGAAACTTGAAGTTTACTCAGCTTGAGGTTTTGTGTAATGAACTTTTCTTTGTCAAAGTTGGAGGCCTTAGATCCTTTCCTGGGGAGATGGTTTTGTTGGAATGTGTCCCACATTGCTTGGAGTTGTCCTATCTGTGCTGGTTATCATGCTGTAGTTTCCCTCTCCTTAATACCTAAATTTTAAGGAGAAGTGTGGGCTGGGCTTTTCAAATTTGTATCAGAGTCTACCAGACCCTAGGCATGGTTCCTGCTAGAATTCTTTCTCACTCAATGTTTTTTGTTATCAAGGTGTTTTTCTCTCTTCTTTAAGTTGACCAATAGTTTGTTGATGTGGTAAGCAAACTTTGTAATTTTTATTTATTTCAGGGCTACCGGTGTGTTCAGTAGTATTGTTCTGTGATACGCCAAATTTTTTGGTTACTTCTCTACCCTCCTTTTTAGGGTCCTTGTGCTGATGTGGTAAGCACATATTTGGTTCTTTTTTATTTTTAGGCTATTGGAGTATTCGGTAGCATTCTTTGTGTGATGTCGTTTTTCGACATTTTTGTTTGTGGTGATTTGCCATTGCTTCGGCCTTGTTGCTTTCTCTCTCTCGGTTGGTTTCTGTTACTGCCATCATGATTGATTCAATGCACGTTCATCTGTTGCAAGATATTGATTCCTTGCTATGTTCATTGAAGTTGTCATTCAAGGGAGTTATTACAATTGTTGTTATCTTTTGACAACTTCATTGTAGTTGTTTGTAATGATCATACTATTTTCAAGTTCAAGTTGGATACTTCACTTCAACCATTCCGTGTTCCAACTTGAGGGAGTGTTGGAGATGAGATTATATTGTTAAAGATATCAGAAGATACAGAAGAGATTAGAATATATGGAGACCCATGATTTATGCTTATTATGATTTTTTGTATCTTTGATTTATTTCAATTCCTTAATTGAAGGGATTTGATTGTATCCCCCACTCTATATATATGTTGTATCAAGTAAATAAGAGTATCAAGTCAAGTGAATGAAAGATGTAGCCTTTTAGGGCTTTGTGTGTGTGGATGTAGGCCAATATTGGCCGAACCACATTAAACCTTTGTGTTCTTACTTTTCTCTTTTCTATCTCTATTATCTCTCTTTATTCAACCTTATTGCCTTATCACAAAATTCAACTCCACATCGCCTGGAGTTGCTCCATCTGTGCTAGTTATAAGGTTTCAGTTTCCCTCTCCTTGATGTCTGGTTTTTAAGGAGAAGTGTGGGTTGAGCGTTTTAATTTGGTATCAGAAGCTTGGTTGTGCTTGTGACTAGTGTGCTATTTGTCTGCTACTGTATGTTGTGGTCCAGGAGGGTGTGTTGGAATGTATTCCATATCACCTGGAGTTGCCCCATCTATGTTGGTTTTAAGGCTCCGATTTTTCTCTCCTTAATACTTTGGTTTTAAGGAAAAGTGTGGGCTGGGCTTTTCAATTGGTTCAACCAAGTGTCGAGCGTAGATTATAAGTGGATATTATTAAAATTTTCTTCATCCATAAGTGTATCTCTCTCTCTCTCTCTCTCTTCCCCAAGCAATAATTGGAGTCTCAGATTCTGACCATCCTTGCTGAAGTACAACAGGGACAATTGAAAAATATGTTGGTGGATAACCTTTTTATCCATCTCGCTCAAAGTAGATCCCAACATGGTTATATACTAAGCTTCTCTTGAATCTGTTAGGAACACATCACAATTAACAGGCTCCCTTAACTTCTGAATGAGAAGGTTCTTCAGAGAACTTTTGCCCTCCTGGTTGCCTTTAGCTAAGGAACTTCAGTATGCTTCTGCATGTATTGCCGAAAAGGCAGTATTAGTTGTTTGATTACTAATTAATAGAGTTCCATTTTTTGATAAATAATGCATCGATTAAACAGAAATTCCTTTTGGACTATTAAATCTTGTGTAGTTCACAATTATCTGTTTATCAAAGGAAAAGGGGCAATTTCAAGTAGTTTTTTCTGCAGGTTTCTGCTCCTATTACTGGTCTCTCTGAGACTTCATCTGATGCGGAAGATTCGGGAACAGAACTTGTTGAAAACCATGGTGCAATGGATATGTTGAACATGGAGAAAGTCTTTATAACTGGAGTTCTTGATGAATTGAAGATATGCTTCAACTATAATCGTCTGGTAGGAGGGGATTGATTTGTTTTATGTGGTATCATCATCCTTCAGTCCAGCTTCTGAGATATTTGACATAATTGTTCTGTTCTTTTATTTGATATAGCATAATCAGAGCTTCATGAAGGTGCTTTTAGCTGAGGAGAGTCGTTTATTTGAATTTCGAGCAATAGGTGGTCAGGTAAGATCGATGTTGAAATCTGTCTGTTGTGGATAGTGTATCGCTTTCCATTTTCAGAATTTAAGTGCTTCAGTGAAAACAGGTTGAACTTTCAATTAGAGAGAATGACATGTTCATTGGCACAGTTCTCAATTCTTTAGAGATAGAAGATTTAGTTTGCCGAAAAGGAGTGTCTCAGCCTTGTTACTTGGCAAGATCATTCATCCGGAGCACAGATGCAACTTCTGGTTTGTATGATGCTGAAAATCGGAGTTATGGCAGCGGTGATTTTGATCAGTGTGAAGGAGATGATAATTTTTTTGAGGCATCAGAAAATCTCAATGATTCTGTTGACAGTCCAATGCGAAACATTTCTGCATACCTAAGTTCCCAAGGTTCTCTTGAAAAGTCACTCTTAAAGCCACCCAGTTTTACTCGTGTTGCTGGTCTACTTCCTGACGATTCTTTACAAACTGCAAGTGATGACACTGAGCTGGCAGATACATTGGATAGTTTTGTAAAGGCTCAAATAATAATTTATGACCAGAACTCACGTCTGTATCATAATATTGATAAATGGGTATGTCTTTGAGTTTGGGATTCTTTCCTTAGCTCTGTATGTGGCCACTAACGTGCTTCCTTGATGGTTATTTCAGGTGACAGTGACCCTTGCTACCTTGTCATTTTTTTGTCGTAGGCCAACAATACTAGCTATAATGGAATTTGTAAATGCAATTAACATTCAGGATGAAAGCTGTGAATCTTGCAGCGATAATTCTTCTGCAGTCATTGTGCAACATGATATCTCCAGCGAAGAAATGGTTGATAATTGCCAATCTACTGCAGTTGAGGAGCCTATGGTTAAAGGCTTGCTAGGAAAGGGGAAATCCAGGATTGTTTTTTATTTAACATTGAAGATGGCTCGCGCTGAAATTTTATTGATGAATGAAAATGGAAGCAAGCTTGCGACTCTGTCACAAGATAATTTGCTCACTGATATTAAGGTGTGGTTGACATTTTGGTTTGTTTTATGTTTTTCCCTTTGTTTCCTTTCTAATTGCAAGTTTAGTTTAACCTTCGAAGAATGTGAATCGAATGTACTTTGTGTGGAAAAGTAATATTTTCTCCTTCCTAGGTATTTCCGTCTTCTTTTAGCATAAAAGCAGCCCTTGGAAATCTGAGAATAAGTGATGACAGTCTCCATAGTGACCATATCTATTTCTGGGTTTGTGACATGAGAAATCCTGGTGGCAGTTCATTTGTAGAGGTACTTATATCCTTGATAATTTTATGGTGACATTAGCTTATTTTTGTAAAAGAATTGATGAAAATCATCATTGTTTTGTTTGCTTAAATCATTTTTTTGGATTTTGATTTAAAGTTTAGTTTGAGATCTGTAATCAGTGGGGCACGACCCGGGTCTTAACTTTGGTCCTTGCACAATTTAAATTTTGGTCCCCTATGCATTTTCAATGAAATTGTGAGTCTCGTAGGAGTTGGGAAGAGTGAAAATTTCTTGATGCTGAAATTATTTGGGCAAGCATGTGATTACACCATTCTTAGCTTGAAAAATAGATAACGGTGTAATTAAATTACTGTACAAACTGCTTTCCATTATCCAAAATTTTATGTTTGAAGTGGTATGGGAAGAAGATTAGGGAGACAAGAACAAATATAATTATGAAAAAAGGAGGAAAGAATAATTATGCTGTTGGTTCTAATGGTTGGTCCCTCTCATAATTTCCTTTTCGTTGATGCATTGCTTTGTATATGTGCTTCTTCCCTCTGCTTTTTGCAAATATAAGGGGATGATCCCTTTTGATAGATTGCTTTGCATATGAAAGTATGGTTCTAGCTAGGGGTGTGCATGGGTTGGTGGGTGGTGGTTTCCCTTGGTGGTTTGAAAACTTTCCCCACCCACTGCCGAGCTGCACAATCTCAAAACTGGTGGGTCGGTTGGATTATTTTGGCGGTATCAACTCAATGAATTGGGCGAGTTACTCTAGACTCTTGGCCTTTGTATAATCAAATAATAATAAACCATTTGTTTTTTTCTTTAGACTATTAGTTCACAATCTGTCTTCTTTTGTGATTTTACGGAAAAACAAAATATAAATCTAAAAAAAAAATATATATATTTTTAAAATGCATCGACCAAAAATACAGCCTTTGATTTCATAAACTTCAAACCCAGGAAAGCAACATAAGTTTTTGGTTTCATTATCATAAATGGGAGAACATAAATTTAGATTAGAGTATTTTTTTGGCAAACTAAGGGATGTTAACAAAAGAAGAAAAAAAGAAGAAGAGAATTATTAAAGCAGTAAGGGGGTGGGGAATAGAGCAATGAGGGAAGGTGGAGGAAGGAGATTGAAGAGCGTTGTGGAGATGAGTCAATGAGACAGAGATAGAACTTGGGGATGAGCAAAACACACGTCTAGTTGAAGGTGGGTGTTTGTAGGTGCTAGGGGGATAGAAATGTGACAGTGAGGGTGGACCTGGTGGCTGCACAAGGGTTATTAGGTAGGTGTACGGAGAACATTTGCCTAGTTGGGAGGACTTGGTGTGTGAGGTGGCATCAGGGAGGCAGTTAGGGTTAGGAGGAGAGGCAAGGGGCTGTGGCTGTTCTGAGATCTAAGTGAGTAATATGAGGGTTGGAGGAAGGGATCCAGTGTGGTTTAGGGTTTAGTGTGAGGGCAGGGCAGGTGTATGTCTCATTATTTATGTATAGCGGGTGGGTTAGTTCAGTTATTAGGTGGGTTGAGAAATTTTAAACTACCCATTCAACTGACCCGCACATTTTTTATCACTAACCTGCCCAACCTTCTCCGCCTACCCTCTCAAACCACTTGGAGCAGATTGGCAGGTATTTTATACACCTCTAATTCTGGCAATTTGTTTGGCAACAAATATGGCAATGTAGAGTGGTTAATGAACTATTGTTGCAAGTTGTGAGAACAAGGAGAGACCAAAATTGACATGGATTGAGATTTTAATGAACAGTTTGAAATGGATCAGGGGTCATGTGGTTGAGAAATTTTAGACTACCCATTAAACTGACCCGCACATTTTTTATCACTAACCTGCCCAACCTTCTCCTCCTACCCTCTCAAACCACTTGGGTTGGAGCAGATTGGCCGGTATTTTATACACCTCTAGTTCTAGCAATTTGTTTGGCAACAAATATGGCAATGTAGAGTTGTTAATGAACTATCGTTGCAAGTTGTGAGAACAAGGAGAGACCAAAATTGACATGGATTGAGATTTTAATGGACAGTTTGAAATGGATCAGGGGTCATGTGGTTGATATCAGAGGGATGATGACGTTTTCTTGAGTTGAATGTAGTTGTGTATGTGTTTGAATAAAATTTCTTGCGATATCCAATTATATGAAATTAGCAAATTCTTGAAAATAGTCAACCATCTAATGTTGTTCAAACGAAAATGCTTTTTCTTGTTATTGCTTCCTTTTGAAAGAATACATTTGTTTAGCTTTCATGTGTGACATCGAACATTTATCCATGAACACAGTTGGTCTTTAGTTCATTTAGTGCTGATGATGAAGACTATGAAGGTTATGATTATAGCCTTTCCGGGCAGCTTTCAGAAGTACGCTTTGTATATTTGAATCGCTTTATCCAGGAGGTAACTGATTTAAAAAAGCTTATTTGTTTTTAATGGCTGCAGTATGCACTTTCTCATGTGGGTATGGAATTAATTGTCTTGTAGATTGTTAGTTACTTCATGGGCCTTGTTCCCAATGTTCCCAACAATTCGAAGGATGTTGTAAAAATAAAAGATCAAGTAACAAACTCAGAGAAGTGGTTTACAACAAGTGAAATTGAAGGTTCACCAGCTGTGAAGCTGGATCTTTCACTATCGAAGCCTATAATATTAATGCCTCGGAGAACAGACAGTCTTGAGTAAGTTCAAACACCCGTTTCTGTACATAAATGTGTGCCAATGAGTTCGCTTTCTATATTGCACCTTCTTTTGTGCCTACTGACTGTTCCGTCCCAGTTTCCCCTCAACATAAATACATACAAAATTAGTGTCTATATTGGATTTTTCTCCTCATGCTGATGATTACAGAATTTAATGTTTTGTTTTACTATTGCAGTTATCTGAAGCTAGACATTGTTCATATAACTGTTCAGAATATCTTTAAATGGTTTTGTGGCAGTAAAAGTGAAATGAATGCTGTCCACATGGAAATACTAAGTGTTTTGGTAAGATTTATATCGTGACATGTATTGCTTTCAGTCTGATTGAGTTATTAGATCAATAAAGAAGTGACACAATGTGATGCTAGCTCTTTTAAATTAATTAAAGAGAAAGAACCTAATTTTTTTAGCGGTTTGAGTTCCAGAATATATTATTACATCTGTGCTTCTTTGTCCTTTTCTCTATGCTTAATATTTCTCAACTAACTTCTTATGAAGTTTTCAGGCACAATTCTCATCAGAGTAATTTGAACTTAAATGTACAATGCTTAATATGTTGTTACTGTTATGTGATCTAGGTTGAAGACATCAACTTAAATGTTGGTACTGGAACAGAATTAGGTGAGAGTATAATTCAAGATGTGAAGGGGGTTACTATTGTTATCCAACGATCACTTCGAGACTTATTGCATCAAATCCCAAGTATGGAAGTTGCAGTTAAGGTATTGCACTTCATTCTAGGGCTAGTGATATTGTCAAGAAGAAATATGTTCTTGATTGCTAGTCATTTTTTCATCTATGATATTAAAAAACGTAAGCTTTATGTGTTGAAAGTGTATTTTGTATGACCTTCAGATAGAAAAACTCAAGGCAGCTCTGTCTAACAGAGAGTACCAGATAATTACAGAATGTGCACTGTCTAATATCTCAGAGACTCCAAATATTGTGCCTGCACTTAATTATGATTCTGGGAAGGCGTCTGTTGATATGGGGGAGCCTCTTGTTCGTCATGATTCAGGTGCTGATGACTCTGAAGCCCAAAATAGGGTAACATGGATTGCCATGAAAATTTCTGTGGACATTGATCTGGTTGAATTGTGCCTGCATTACGGTACAGCGAGAGATGCAACTCTGGCCACTGTTCAGGTATCTGATTTACTCTTTTGACCTCTCTCTCTTGCTTCTTCTTCTTTATTTAGTGCCATCATCATCATCATTGGCCTGGGCTGGCTTTTTGGGAATTTTGTTACCACCGTGCTCACAGCCCGGCTGGCCTTCCAGCGGTGGTGGGAATTCTCCTGTTCCCTGGTCAAAGACTTAATAGATAACCCTAGCTTGGAGTTTGCAAAATACAACAATAATTGAATGATTGGCTTAACTCAGAAAGGTTGAAGCATGGAAATTAAAGCATGAATTTTATATATGCTTCAAGTATTTAAGCCGGTTTTCTCCTGGAAGTCATTTTCTGGTGGAGTGAGGTTTGCCTGATTGCTGTTTGGGCAAGGAACGGGGACCCCTATCCTTGGCATTATAACAACTTCTTCAGGCAAATCTGGGATGTTTTGCCTTTCCTTGTATAATAGGCTGGTTAGTTTAAGGAAGCCTCCTTGGCATATAGTTTTTTATTGGGAGAGAAGAGGTGGAACGTGGTTAGACTAGGTTACCTTATGGGCTTTCATTTGGGTTTGTTTTTCATTTGTGATTGAGAGCCTTGTTCACATCAGCACATGATTACTTATTTTTATTAGTTTTGTAGTTTCATTAATCTTATTTATAGGAAATAGTTCTTGAATGGATACTTTGTTTTTTTTATATAGTTTTTTTTGGTAAAAGGAATTTTTACTTAGATGTGTATTGAGGGGGGAGAGCTAGAACGGGTGGGGGTTTCTCAAATCTATGGAGCAAGAGAGGGAGCTGGTATTTCAGACTTTGCTTGGGTTTGTTGAGCTCTCTGCTTGGGCAAAGATTTCTGTATAGACTCAATCGGATTTGGTAACTGTGTGGTACACATATCATAAAGACATCTGTTATCTCGCTGATATTACAATTGATAGTTTCCATTTCTTTTTACCTTGTAAATATATAGTTCATATCTTCTGGCATTTATCTAGATAATTCCTCTGGTTGATAATTGGACAATATAATTAATTTATTATCCTGTGGAGAAATTGTCAATCTTTGTCGTTTTATTTCAGATTAGTGGTGCATGGCTTCTCTACAAGTCTAATACACTAGGAGAAGGTTTTCTTTCAGCATCACTCAAAGATTTTAGTGTGATTGATGATCGTGAGGGGACGGAGCAAGCGCTTAGGTTGGCGGTAGGAAAGCCTGAGAGTTTTGGATATGGTCCTTCGCAATATGAGACTGATGATGAAGACCATCAAGTGTCTGGGAAATATGTTCTGGATATTGACAATGCAAATTTTATTCCTACTATGCTTATTCTTGATGCCAAATTTGGTCAATATTCAACGTCGGTTTCTGTATGCGTCCAAAGGCCACAGTTGCTAGTTGCACTTGATTTTCTGCTGGCTGTTGTTGAGTTTTTTGTCCCATCGGTCCACAGTATGCTGTCAAATGAAGAAGATGAGAACTTTTCACACATAGTTGATGCAGTCATTCTGGATCAGCCAAATTATAGTCAACCCTCTGCTGAATTTTCACTTTCCCCTCGGAGACCTTTGGTTGTTGACGATGAAAGATTTGACCATTATGTTTATGATGGTAGAGGCGGAACTCTGTATTTACAGGACAAACAGGGATGCACTCTCTCTTCTCCGAGTACCGAACCTATAATTTATGTTGGAAATGGGAAAAGATTGCAATTAAAAAATATCATTATTAAGGTTTGTTTATATGTGCATATTGATTTTCTTGCTTTAAGTTTTATTATAGAAATGTTCTGTTTGCCTAAACATGCTGAACTATATGTTGGTAGTGCAGAATGGATGGTATTTGGATTCATGTATCGTATTGGGAACCAACAGTAGCTATTCGGCTTCAGAGTACGATCAAGTCTATTTTGAGGGAGCTGATGAAGATCCTCATCTGAATTCTTCAGGACAAAACACTGACACTATGACATCTCAAAATATTCCTGTTCGGAGTTCCACAGAATTTATTGTTGAGCTGCAGGTAAATGATTGTTCAACTGAAATTAAATTGATTATTGCTTCGTGATAAATAGTTTTTTTGTGATTAGTTTCATTACGTGTTCCTTGTCCTAGATCTCTGTGATCTACTATTAGGTTGCTATAAGATGCATTCCAGAGTGCCGATCCAAAAAAAAAAGAAAAAAAAAAGAAAAAGGCATTTCAGAGCAATGATAAGTGGGTGTGAAATCAATCTTGGAAGGGCACTGATGTAGGACAAGAATTGGAAGAGTTTCCTACTCGCAGCAAGCTCAAAATTGATATATAGCAACAGAAAACCTAAACTAAAGGGGCTGATTTAAATGGTTTTTAAAGGCTGAAATTGTAATAATATTTTTTTAAAGGGTTTGTATGGGGTAATAAATGAGTAAGAGTTATGAAAAGATGAGATTTTTGACACTGTTTAGGAGCTGTTCTGAGTGCTATGAACATTACCCAAGAAATAGTAACTTTACATATTTTGTAAAAAATTTAAAGAAGAGGAAGAAAATTAGGAATCACTCTTTGCATCTCTTAGGCATCACACCTAGGATCATTTAATCTATAATGAAAGCTTCATAGCTCTGGAAATTCTTGAAAATATCAATTATATTAAATTAGAAACATTAGATGACTTCATCTAGACTTTAGATACTTCCTATTTCAACTTCTAGACTAGAATTTGAAAAGAGGAAACTACTAATGTTTGACTTCTAAAACCCATTTAAGATTAAATAAAACTCAAATAAAAACCAAATTGTATAACGTGACCCATATAATGACCCATGGGCAACCCCTTCAATCCATGTCAGCAAATCTGAAAATTACCAAAATATCCCTACCTTAAAACTCTAGAAAACTTAAAATAACCATAAATAAGTCTCTAATAACACTAGAAACATGATTGTGTGTGGTTCCTATCGACTTTTCTTTAAAAACATACCAAATTTCAAATATTGTTGCTACTTTGAATTTAATTTTTCTTGAGCTTTTTACAGTCCTGTACCAGGCACTAAAGTTGGTTTTTATATATGGATGATTAGAATGACCATCATAAAATGAATGAACATAGGGACTCGGGCAGTTGTCACCTTTGAAGATGATGCATTTCAAGCATTGAAAATGAGAAATTTCAAACTTAGAATTTGTTTGTTGAATAGTTAAAAATATACCCCGAATATTATCTTATTTAATGGGCTTATTTTGGTCTAAATTAAAATTTAATTTGTTTATTTGTGTTCAATGGTAATTATTAATTTTTATATATTTGTTTATTTATTTTATTCCAACCTTCTTTCTGGAGGACAAAATTTTGAGTCTAGAAGTGTTATTTGTCAATTGAGTATGTACCCAATGAGAAGATAGTTCCGATACAAGGATATTTCTCATCTTTACTTTTTTTGAATCTTATGTTGGCAGTGTGTTTTTTTTTCCATATCAACACAAGCTTGATCTTTTAATCTCTTGTTAATTGTTAATATAATCAATAAGCAGGCTCCATTTCTATATATAAGACAATTCATAATCTTTTGGGAGCTTCTCTTTCCACACACAACTTCTTTTAGTTCATTCCATTTTTTGTTCAGAAATTGATTTTCAAACAAAACTACATGGTTCAGAAATCAACTTCTAAAAGAAGACCAATGGTTTAGAAGTCAACTTCCAAACCAAAGATATAGCTGAATCATAAGGTTTTGTTTGAAAGTTGATTTCCAAACTAAAAAGGTGTGTGAATTGAGATAATATGGTGTGGAAATAAAATCTCCCGAATCTTTTTTGATTCACAGTGTACATGGGTAGTATTCAGTCTCATTTCATGATTATTTGATGTCAATATGCTTGTAGTTTAGTTTTATTTATTCTAATTTCTGCCTAGAGTCGAGGTATTTTAAGATTTTCTTTTGTGTAGGCTGTGCTGCAGTAGAACTTATGGGTTTTCTGCTGTCAGTGGATCAGTCATCCTTTGAGTGCAAGCATCAGTTACACTAGTACTAGGTGACAAATAGAAGCTTGTAGTCTGACAATTTCATTTTGAGTCCTCCAGATCCAGTAGTAGCTTTGTAAGAACTTGATGGAACCATGGCCTTAGCTGGTGATATCTAAGTATCTAATGGCATGTTTAGTACGCTGGAAGGGGCTGGAATGGAATGCCCATTTTCCAACTTTGTAGTCCTTTCTCTTGTTTGGTAATAGTTCTTCTATTGAAGAAGACTTTCAACAAAAAAATGGGAATATCAATTCATTCTTCATTCCTAGGGAATAGGCAATCTATTCCATCATGGAATCACCTTAAAACAGGGTCAGTTGGCCTCTCCTCCGCCCGCCACCACCAACTCACTTTCCTTTACTTTAGCTAGGGCTGCAAATGAACCGAGTTGCTCATGAGCTGGTTCGGTTCTACTCGGCTCGTTAAGGGCTTGGCTTGTTTAAATGCCGAGCTCGAGCTCGAGCTCGAGCTCGAATAAGCTCGGCTCGTCAAGCTCAGCTTGTTCATCTTTATTTAAATTATATAATAAATATATTAGTTATATATTAAATTATATATAAATATATATAAATAATAGCATAAATACATTATTTATGTATTAAATAATATAAATAATATTTTTTATTTAAATATCTTTATTTAAATAATATAAAAAAAATCTTATCGAGCCGAGCCTAGCTTAGCCTAGCCTAGCCGATCTCAAGTTTCATTAATATTAACGAGCTGGGCTTGAGCTCAATAAACGAGCTTGATAAGCAAACGAGCCGAGCTTGAGCTCAGGAAAGCTCGGTTCGGCTTGTTTGCAGCCTTAACTGCGGCCGCCGTTGTTGCCCTATCGCCACATCCATCCTATCACCATGACCACACTACCATCACCATCATTGCCACCCTACCACAATTGTTATTGTCGCCACCCTACCACCACTACCACTATAATTGTCACTGCTGCTGTTGCCGCCGCCACTATCACAATGCTAGCACCACCACTGCCACTAGGCTGCAAATGAGCTGAGTCGAGCTTTGCAGGGCTTGAGCTTGGCTTTTTCATTTATTAAGCTTTAAAATCAAGTTTGAGCTTGGCTTGAGGATTAGTCCAACTCAAGCTTGACTCGGCTCGGCTCGGCTCAGCTCAGCTCAGCTCAAAGCTCGATAATGAAGAAAAAAAAATTGGCTCCAAAATCAAGCTCGGTTGGCTCATTAAATATTATTCTATATTAAATATACATTTTGTATTATTTAATATGTAAATAATATAGATATCATATCATTTGAATAAATAATAAAGGAGTCGAGCTTTATGAGCCAAGTTTATTCTAGCTCTAGCTCGAGCTCAGCGTGTTTATTAAAAGAGCCTAAATAGCTAGCTCAGGCTCGTTTATATACATAATGAACTGAGTCGAGACAAGCTCACAAGCAAGTTGGTTCATATGTATTCCTAACTGCCACTACCCTACCACAACGGCTCCTGCTACCAAAACCACCACAACACTTCTACCACCGCCAATGCCACCGCTGCCCAAACACCACGCTCCCACTATCACCACAGCAATGGCCACCACCATTGACTCAAGCCTATGCCATTGTGCTGGGGTGGATGAGTACTTGCCACCATGCCATGTCCCGACTTCTTGCTTTGATCAACCTTGCAAACAAAAATTCTCTTAAATCTGCCCCAGCTCCAGAATGAGTATAATGGAGATTTTTGGTGTGTTGGATAAGTAATTGTGGAGAACCTGCTTATCAAAAAATAAGAAAGTTTGTGAAGGACCAGCTGCACTATTTCTTTTATAAAAAAAAAGGTGTGTACTTTAACCAATGGTGTATGACAAAATATGGATCCATGATTAGCTTTTGTGGAATTGCCTAAGCCATGAAATCTAAGACAGAATACGTAAGATTATTAATAAAGCAGTTGCATCAGCATTTAGTGGGAGAAGCAACAGAAGTCACACAAACTAATGCAAATGGTTGCAAAGGAGGTAGGATCCCATTTTTATAAAAACATGAAATTTTCTTTTTTGGCACATGACATGTGAATCAAACTTTATTTTCTTATTTTGTTTCTCAGTCTTATTGTAATAGAACAAATACTCAAAAGTTTAGTTAAGGACCTAGTGACAAAAGTAGCTGCTACATCAAATACTTGCAAAAAGTTTAAGCTCATTAAATTATTTGCTCCACTGAATGTGAGCATTATCTTGGTTATGGATTACCACACAAGCCTCATATTCAGGGCATTCGAGGTGGCTGTTATTGAATCCAGACCCTCATCTCAATCTTGAGTATGCTTAGAATCTCACCCCTACTAAAATTTGATGTTACCATCCCATACTGTTGGGATGTACCATATCATTGGTTTGATTTACCTGAGAGTGTATGGGATAAAATTTGTTTTTTGTTTTTTGTTTTTTGTTTGGGCTTCATTGTTTATGGGTTTTAAGGAGATACATTTGTTTTTATTTTTATCAATAGTGATTGGAGAACTATGTGTGATACATAGATTGATTTTTCCTTTTTTTTACTTTTATTGGTGGACTCCTTTTATTTCATTTTCTTATTGTTTTCCTCATTTGTTACATTTTTTATGCCTATTTATAGGCGAGTCTGCTCCATCAACCATAGCTGGGATGGGAGTTTCATCTGGCTCATCCTGCTCATGCTTCACCCAAGTTGTTAACTATTTCCTCATGCATCAAACAAATTGTTGTTGACTTTTTTTTCTTTCTTTCTCTTTCTTTCTTTTCTTGTGTCCTTTCTTTCAACTTTCTTAGGTGCATCTGTTTGTCCGACTACATCCTTTGTCTTGAAGCATTGCAAAATGCCAAGTTGTTCATGGGTTATTAAATTAGTGGTGTTGATGTGATAGAACATCATGTGCCTTGTCTTTGGTATATATGAAGCTAGCATCCTTTTCTCCAAGGGTCCAGCAAGACTCCGTAAACTGTCACACCATTGTCTGCTACAACGGTCCGACATGACCCCATAAACTGTCTTCTACAACGTTATGACAGCACCATCCAGTGTCTGCACCAATGGTCTGACACGACCATCCAGTGTCTCCTATCCTTTTTTATTTTTTTTATGTATTTTCTTGTTTTGTTCCTCTCTTCAAACTCAAGTTGGTTAGTTTCTATCCTCCTTGAGTTTGCGGGGGGCTGTTAGAATTTACCATCACCTACCACCACTACCACCTCACCTACTCCACTAAACCTAACCCACTACACCACTACCACCTCACCTACTCCACTAAACCTAACCCACTACACCACTACCACCATCCACTACACCTACATCTATATAAGGAACCATTTGTAATAGATACATAAAGAAATCAATCAATAAATCAATAATACATAAATTTTTACATGAATGAACATAGGGACTCGGGCAGTTGTCACCTTTGAAGATGATGCATTTCAAGCATTGAAAATGAGAAATTTCAAACTTAGAATTTGTTTGTTGAATAGTTAAAAATATACCCCGAATATTATCTTATTTAATGGGCTTATTTTGGTCTAAATTAAAATTTAATTTGTTTATTTGTGTTCAATGGTAATTATTAATTTTTATATATTTGTTTATTTATTTTATTCCAACCTTCTTTCTGGAGGACAAAATTTTGAGTCTAGAAGTGTTATTTGTCAATTGAGTATGTACCCAATGAGAAGATAGTTCCGATACAAGGATATTTCTCATCTTTACTTTTTTTGAATCTTATGTTGGCAGTGTGTTTTTTTTTCCATATCAACACAAGCTTGATCTTTTAATCTCTTGTTAATTGTTAATATAATCAATAAGCAGGCTCCATTTCTATATATAAGACAATTCATAATCTTTTGGGAGCTTCTCTTTCCACACACAACTTCTTTTAGTTCATTCCATTTTTTGTTCAGAAATTGATTTTCAAACAAAACTACATGGTTCAGAAATCAACTTCTAAAAGAAGACCAATGGTTTAGAAGTCAACTTCCAAACCAAAGATATAGCTGAATCATAAGGTTTTGTTTGAAAGTTGATTTCCAAACTAAAAAGGTGTGTGAATTGAGATAATATGGTGTGGAAATAAAATCTCCCGAATCTTTTTTGATTCACAGTGTACATGGGTAGTATTCAGTCTCATTTCATGATTATTTGATGTCAATATGCTTGTAGTTTAGTTTTATTTATTCTAATTTCTGCCTAGAGTCGAGGTATTTTAAGATTTTCTTTTGTGTAGGCTGTGCTGCAGTAGAACTTATGGGTTTTCTGCTGTCAGTGGATCAGTCATCCTTTGAGTGCAAGCATCAGTTACACTAGTACTAGGTGACAAATAGAAGCTTGTAGTCTGACAATTTCATTTTGAGTCCTCCAGATCCAGTAGTAGCTTTGTAAGAACTTGATGGAACCATGGCCTTAGCTGGTGATATCTAAGTATCTAATGGCATGTTTAGTACGCTGGAAGGGGCTGGAATGGAATGCCCATTTTCCAACTTTGTAGTCCTTTCTCTTGTTTGGTAATAGTTCTTCTATTGAAGAAGACTTTCAACAAAAAAATGGGAATATCAATTCATTCTTCATTCCTAGGGAATAGGCAATCTATTCCATCATGGAATCACCTTAAAACAGGGTCAGTTGGCCTCTCCTCCGCCCGCCACCACCAACTCACTTTCCTTTACTTTAGCTAGGGCTGCAAATGAACCGAGTTGCTCATGAGCTGGTTCGGTTCTACTCGGCTCGTTAAGGGCTTGGCTTGTTTAAATGCCGAGCTCGAGCTCGAGCTCGAGCTCGAATAAGCTCGGCTCGTCAAGCTCAGCTTGTTCATCTTTATTTAAATTATATAATAAATATATTAGTTATATATTAAATTATATATAAATATATATAAATAATAGCATAAATACATTATTTATGTATTAAATAATATAAATAATATTTTTTATTTAAATATCTTTATTTAAATAATATAAAAAAAATCTTATCGAGCCGAGCCTAGCTTAGCCTAGCCTAGCCGATCTCAAGTTTCATTAATATTAACGAGCTGGGCTTGAGCTCAATAAATGAGCTTGATAAGCAAACGAGCCGAGCTTGAGCTCAGGAAAGCTCGGTTCGGCTTGTTTGCAGCCTTAACTGCGGCCGCCGTTGTTGCCCTATCGCCACATCCATCCTATCACCATGACCACACTACCATCACCATCATTGCCACCCTACCACAATTGTTATTGTCGCCACCCTACCACCACTACCACTATAATTGTCACTGCTGCCGTCGCCGCCGCCACTATCACAATGCTAGCACCACCACTGCCACTAGGCTGCAAATGAGCTGAGTCGAGCTTTGCAGGGCTTGAGCTTGGCTTTTTCATTTATTAAGCTTTAAAATCAAGTTTGAGCTTGGCTTGAGGATTAGTCCAACTCAAGCTTGACTCGGCTCGGCTCGGCTCAGCTCAGCTCAAAGCTCGATAATGAAGAAAAAAAAATTGGCTCCAAAATCAAGCTCGGTTGGCTCATTAAATATTATTCTATATTAAATATACATTTTGTATTATTTAATATGTAAATAATATAGATATCATATCATTTGAATAAATAATAAAGGAGTCGAGCTTTATGAGCCAAGTTTATTCTAGCTCTAGCTCGAGCTCAGCGTGTTTATTAGAAGAGCCTAAATAGCTAGCTCAGGCTCGTTTATATACATAATGAACTGAGTCGAGACAAGCTCACAAGCAAGTTGGTTCATATGTATTCCTAACTGCCACTACCCTACCACAACGGCTCCTGCTACCAAAACCACCACAACACTTCTACCACCGCCAATGCCACCGCTGCCCAAACACCACGCTCCCACTATCACCACAGCAATGGCCACCACCATTGACTCAAGCCTATGCCATTGTGCTGGGGTGGATGAGTACTTGCCACCATGCCATGTCCCGACTTCTTGCTTTGATCAACCTTGCAAACAAAAATTCTCTTAAATCTGCCCCAGCTCCAGAATGAGTATAATGGAGATTTTTGGTGTGTTGGATAAGTAATTGTGGAGAACCTGCTTATCAAAAAATAAGAAAGTTTGTGAAGGACCAGCTGCACTATTTCTTTTAAAAAAAAAAGGTGTGTACTTTAACCAATGGTGTATGACAAAATATGGATCCATGATTAGCTTTTGTGGAATTGCCTAAGCCATGAAATCTAAGACAGAATACGTAAGATTATTAATAAAGCAGTTGCATCAGCATTTAGTGGGAGAAGCAACAGAAGTCACACAAACTAATGCAAATGGTTGCAAAGGAGGTAGGATCCCATTTTTATAAAAACATGAAATTTTCTTTTTTGGCACATGACATGTGAATCAAACTTTATTTTCTTATTTTGTTTCTCAGTCTTATTGTAATAGAACAAATACTCAAAAGTTTAGTTAAGGACCTAGTGACAAAAGTAGCTGCTACATCAAATACTTGCAAAAAGTTTAAGCTCATTAAATTATTTGCTCCACTGAATGTGAGCATTATCTTGGTTATGGATTACCACACAAGCCTCATATTCAGGGCATTCGAGGTGGCTGTTATTGAATCCAGACCCTCATCTCAATCTTGAGTATGCTTAGAATCTCACCCCTACTAAAATTTGATGTTACCATCCCATACTGTTGGGATGTACCATATCATTGGTTTGATTTACCTGAGAGTGTATGGGATAAAATTTGTTTTTTGTTTTTTGTTTTTTGTTTGGGCTTCATTGTTTATGGGTTTTAAGGAGATACATTTGTTTTTATTTTTATCAATAGTGATTGGAGAACTATGTGTGATACATAGATTGATTTTTCCTTTTTTTTACTTTTATTGGTGGACTCCTTTTATTTCATTTTCTTATTGTTTTCCTCATTTGTTACATTTTTTATGCCTATTTATAGGCGAGTCTGCTCCATCAACCATAGCTGGGATGGGAGTTTCATCTGGCTCATCCTGCTCATGCTTCACCCAAGTTGTTAACTATTTCCTCATGCATCAAACAAATTGTTGTTGACTTTTTTTTCTTTCTTTCTCTTTCTTTCTTTTCTTGTGTCCTTTCTTTCAACTTTCTTAGGTGCATCTGTTTGTCCGACTACATCCTTTGTCTTGAAGCATTGCAAAATGCCAAGTTGTTCATGGGTTATTAAATTAGTGGTGTTGATGTGATAGAACATCATGTGCCTTGTCTTTGGTATATATGAAGCTAGCATCCTTTTTTATACTAAACTTGATTGTTTCTGCAAGCTCTAGCTTTTTATTTGATTGTGATGCTTTGAATCATGGTACTTCTTTATTGTGGTATCTTCTAGAAACTGGATTTGCCTCCGCGGTATCTCTAATATGCTAGTTCATTATATCTTATGTAGCTCGGCTATATTTTGCAGGCTATTGGTCCAGAGCTTACCTTCTATAATGCATCAAAAGATGTAGGAGAATCACTGGCCCTCTCTAACAAACTTTTGCATGCACAGTTGGATGCATTCTGCAGGTCACTCTCTTTTGTCACTTCGTTCATGGGTTTAACATTTCTTTCTCTTAGTTGATTAGCAGACAATCTGTGCAATTATGTTGCTCGTGAAATACTGGTGGTTATGTCTTGCAAAAATATATGTATTATTGATTGATATATTGATTGATATATTGATGTATTACAAGATTGATTAATTACAATTCCTATACAATCTATATATAGAAGAAAATGTGGTAGTAGGTGTAGTGGAGGTGATAGTGGGTTAGGTGAAGTGGAGTGTGTCAACTATACGAGAATCTTCGGTGATTGAGAAACATAAGTTTTCATAGACATGAGCATTAATTGCTTTTTGCTTCTTTTGTATTTGTCAGAATATTTTAAAATATATATACATATTTATGTATGTTTTATAAATTATTTGAGTGCATATTACGAAAAATTATATCAATATAATAATACATGAATTGACACTAATTTTTTTTTCCAAATCTTTGACAGCTTTTAATGGCTAGTTGGGAAAATAAATTATGGTAGCCCTAGTCTCCCTCCAAAAAAATCCCTGCATTTTACTCCCCTATAAATAAGTTTTGCTCTTGATCTTATAGTCCTCATCTCTTCTCATTGGACTATGTTTTGAAGAGATTTCTGTGTATTACTTAAATAAATAGTAGCATGTTTGTAGTTGCCTCAGAAAATTCTGAATTTTTTAGTCGACAATATGTATCAGCCAAGAAAGAATGATGTTCTGGTTCCACACATGCCTGTCTGGATTTTTGACACCATAGCTGATATGTTCTAGAGCCTAGACTACGAGAATTGGTTCATAGTTGCAATAGAGATGAGAAAAATTGAATTGAAGGGCAATTTTGTTATCTCAATTGTTTGAGATGAGAGACAAATGCTGCAGGCCTTTTGGGAGCGTTAATAATGCCACATTGGAAATGTTTTAGATAGTAAATAGAACATTACCATAACATAACTACCATAGCCAGCACCATTCTAATGTACTGATTGTCATCAAACCTGAGTTTTGTTTTCATTCCTAGATGCAAATTTGGTTTGGATCTTGTTAAAAGGTCTCAACTCTGCAGTGTGTACATATAACATGTATCACACGGTTTTAATTTTTTTTAATTTATTTCCAGAAAAGCAACCCAGATAGGGAAAGGAGGCAAGGAAGATGCCCACTTACTCCCGAAGAAGTAGGTCTGATGCTGAGAGCACTGGGATATGGCAAAGATGTTCACATTTATGTGGCATCCGGGGAAGTATATAGAGGGGAAGAGACATTGGCCCCCCTAAAAGCACTCTTCCCAAATTTTTATTCAAAAGACACCATAGCCACCAAGGAAGAGCTAGAACCATTTTCAGCATTTTCTTCTCGCATGGCTGCACTAGATTTTATTGTGTGTGATGAAAGTGATGTGTTTGTCACAAACAACAATGGCAATATGGCAAGAATTTTAGCAGGGCGAAGGTGTGATTGCTTTCTGTTTTTTGCTCTCGTCTTTGTTTTTTGGGTAAACTACATTGACCTTCCTTGAGGTTTGGAGAAAATAGAGTAAGCCCCACAAATTGACATAATTACATTGGACTCCCTTAAGGTTTTAATTCATTTAACACTTTGCCCCCTTTTCATCAGTAATTTGTTTCATATCGATAGAAAAATGATGTCATTATTTTTACATTGAAATGTATATTTTTACCTTCTTTATATTTTGACTAGTTTCGGTCCTTTAGCCTTACTATAATGGATGTCATCGGTGTACTTAATACCAAAATTGTAGGATTTGCTATATTTTCTCCAAATCTCAATGGGAGGTTTTCTCCAAATCTCAATGGGAGGTCAGGGTAATTTACCCTAGTTCAACATTTTTCTTGTTTATTTGCTTTTCGTTTCATTGGGGGTACTGGGGAAGAGAACTCTTAAATGCTGACAAACTTTTTCTCTGTTGGTTGCAGGAGATATTATGGACACAAGCCTACCATTCGTCCAAATGCTAAAAAACTGTATCGTTTGTTCTTAAACCGAGTTAACACAACATGGGACGTATTTGCATCTGGTGTGCGTAATTACCAGAGAGGATTAATGGGAGAGCCAAAGGAGGTGAGGCCAGGCAGGGGTGAGTTTCACGAGAACCCAGCAGCTTGCATCTGTGAAAATACAGAGGCCAAGGAGAAAATGGAATCAGGTCCTAGAAAGCTTGGTAAGGTGATTGGTGCAACAAGAAAAGATATTGGTGAAGTAGTTGATGATGAGAATGATGATGATGAACCAGAATGGCCTGACCCCGACGATGAAGAGGATCAAAATACCCCTCTAGGTAATGGTTGGTTTAATAGAACGGGGGTGGACGATCGATGTAGAGAGAATCACTCCGGCCGCGAAGCACTTGAGTATGAGGATCGCCTTGTCGTAGACCGACTTGCCGTGGAGGTTGATGTCGGCGACTTGGCGTGTGGTGGGGTCGCAGCTCACGCCGAACCAGAGAGCAGGTTCCAATGGTGGAACGGCCAAAGCTGCTAACAAATCTTAGGGCTGAGTAGATCCAGATGTTGGTGGAGAACACTGTGGAGAGGCCAGCAAGTGACATGAGGAGGCAGGATAGGAGTAGCATGTTCTTGCGACCAAGTGATGAGGAGTCTGCAAGTGTGGTGTTCGACGAAATGTCCCAGACAAAATTGGACCGTCGGATCATGAATCACAGCTGATCTTAAGGTGATGATTGTGTAGTAAGGTATGTGTAGAGGTCCGGCGGGCGGCCAAGGTGAGGCTGCCGCCCGCCGGTGAAGTAGAATGATTAGGTTCTTAACCTTGCTCTGATACCATGTAAAATATATTGATGGATATTATTGATTGATGTATTACAAGATAGATAAATTACAATTCCTATACAATCTATATATAGAAGAAAATGTGGTAGTAGGTGTAGTGGAGGTGATAGTGGGTTAGGTGAAGTGGAGTGTGTAGTGGAGTAGAGGTAGGTGAAGTGGAGTGTGTAGTGGAGTAGGTGAAGGTAAAGATGGGAAATTCTAACATGTCTAAATTAGTAGTTTCTCAGTTACAATCATAAAAGCTCAATCCCTTGTACAAAACAACACTAGAATTACACTGGCTTAATTACAACAGTTTCTCTGTGACAATTGCCTTCCTGTTATAATTATGTGGAGTTTCTATTACATGGATTTTCTGTGTTCAAAATATGAGAGGCCAGCATCTGATGTAGTTTTGCTGCTTCTAGGCTTGTTTTGAAGGGTGACACAATGGAAATGAGTGCAAATGCACTTGGATTCATGATGGAGAGCAATGGCATCAGAATTCTTGAGCCATTTGATACCTCCATGAAGTTTTCAAATGCTTCTGGAAAGATAAATATCCATTTTTCTGTCTCGGATATTTTTATGAATTTTTCCTTTAGCATCTTGAGGCTATTTTTGGCAGTTGAGGAGGACATTTTAGCATTTCTGAGGACAACATCAAAGAAAATGACTCTGGTCTGCTCTCAGTTTGACAAAGTTGGTACAATTGAAAGTAGGTTGAGATGCCCTTGATTCCATTTTTTTTTCCCTTTCTAATTTCTAATGATAATTCTTGAATTTATAAACCTTCATCAAGCTTCATGCTGTTCACTTGCAGCCCGAATTTTGTGTTTTGCAGATCCCTATGGTGAGCAAGTATTTGCATTTTGGAGACCTCATGCGCCACCTGGTTTTGCTGTCCTTGGCGATTATCTGACGCCACTGTCAGTGTTTCCCAATATCATCTGTTATCATGTTATTTTTTTTATTGAATTAATTCCATTAACATTAGTCTTCACATGACAGCAACAAGCCACCAACAAAAGGCGTTCTTGCCGTGAATACCAGTCTTGCTAGAGTCAAGAGGCCTGTATCTTTCAAGCTAGTTTGGCCTCCCACTGCAAATAATGATATCTCTGAATTTCAAGATGTAGATAACCACAACATCTGCTCCATTTGGTTCCCTGAAGCACCCAAAGGTTATGTTGCATTGGGCTGTGTGGTTTCTACTGGAAGAACACAACCTCCGTTATCTTCTGCCTTCTGCATCTTGGCGTCTCTAGTTTCTCCATGTGCCTTGAGGGATTGTGTTACTATCAGCTCTAACATTTCGTACGTATCTATGCCTAGTTATGTATGGGTGTCTACATGCTTGTTTGTCTGCATTCATTATGTCATATGCACCAGCATGCAGTTGACCAAATCATGAAAAGAATGTAGAGATATTTGCACTGGGAGGAAGCTTATTAGCATCCTCTAAGAATTTTACTTGGCTTCAGCCTTTTTCTTTCTAAAATTTGGTGCTGGTAGCTTATCCTTTTTGGTATGCCACATGCATTTCCACTCCATTGGCTTGTTATCTGTTGGTTCATTTTGCGGTGGCTAATGGGGAGTCTACAGTTTTGGGGGGATGTTTGGATGGGTGAGGCCTCTTTAGTACTTTGTTCCCTCGGTTATATCAATTATCTAGTTCTCATAATGCTTCCATTGCATCTATTGCTTCTTCTTATGTAGCCACAATTTCTTGGAATTTCAATTTTTTTTTTTTTCCCTCAAAAATCTTAATGAATGTGAAACTAATCTTATTATCTATTCTTGATGGTATCTCCTTAAGCCATGTATAATGGCTTATTTTCTTGTAAATTTTTCTTAGACAAAGATTTGATTTAACTGATCAATTCGAAATTGGTATAATTGATGATCAAAGTATTCCTTTCTTCTTTTTTTCTTTTGCTTTTTTTTTTTTTTCCCCACTCCACATGACATGATTTGAGATGCTATTGTTCCTCTTAAACGTAAAAGAGGTTTTGCATGGTCTTTGGTTCATAAGAAGCTCAATTCCAATGATATGATTGAAAGAGACATTATTGCTATGCTTCCTCAATGGTGTGTTAATGTGTAAGGGAAAGACAAATCTATTGATAATTTATTCTTGCATTATCCTGTAGCTATGGCCTTATGCTAGTAGTTGCTTATGGTTGATTACAAGTGATTTACTGGTTTGGTTCTAACAAGAAGGCTAAAGTTTTGTGGAGATTTTTTTTCATGTTTTGTTTTGGGTTATTTGGTTGGAAAGATATAGTTCAGTTTACGGGCAAAGCATTTGCAGGTAAGTTTGGACAAAGCTATAGTTCAGTTTTGGGTTATTTTGATTTATGGACAAAGCATTTACAGGTGAGCTATAGATTCCCCCAATGCTTTGTCCATTTTGGGCTAGCTCAGTCAACGATAGAAGGCCTGCTTCTGGATAATTTACTTCTATAGCGGGAGTCTAGTTGCCTGGCACAGTAAAAAGCAAGTAGTGGTAGCTAGATCTAGTGCAGAAGCTAAATTTAGGCCAATAGCTCATGGTATTTGTGAGTTTGTGGCCCCAATTGTTATTGAAGAATTTAGGGATTCATGATGATGGACCTATGAAGTTGTATTGCGACAATAAAGCTACCATTAGTGTTGCTCATAATCTAGTTCAACATGATAAGATAAAGCATATTGAGATTGAGGGGGTGTTATGTTATGTAGTATTATTTCCTATGGATATTTTTTTTTTTCCTTTTTTGTACTTTAAACTCATTTAGTATAAACTATGAAGCACATATACTTCAAATAGGGTGGCGTAACCATATCGTATCCGTATCTTATACCGATACTCTTTGGATATTCACGGATATGTATTGGATACTTATGAAAATTATCAAATACTTCTTAATTAATTTTTTTTATTAATTTTGGAGTATCAGATACTTAATTTTGAAGTATCGGATACTTCCAAGTCACATATTACTTGCTTTACGAAATTAGAATTGTAGCATTTCTTGCATAGCATTATAATATAATATAATTGCAAGGATAAATATAAGAATATTTTTCTAGTACTTTGTTTAGTTCTTTGATAAGAAGAACATAGTGAGTTAAATAATAAAATTTGTCAAATTGATGTATCCTGCTGGAAATTTGTGTTAATGCATATAATAAGATAGTGGCATGTATAGAATATGATAGTGGTGTTGGTGGTAGATAATGGCATGTATAGAATATGATAGTGGTGTTGGTGGTAGATAATGGCATGTATAGAATATGATAGTGGTGTTGGTGGTAGATAATGGCATGTATAGAATATGATAGTGGTGTTGGTGGTAGATAATGGCATGTATAGAATATGATAGTGGTGTTGGTGGTAGATAATGGCATGTATAGAATATGATAGTGGTGTTGGTGGTAGATAATGGCATGTATAGAATATGATAGTGGTGTTGGTGGTAGATAATGGCATGTATAGAATATGATAGTGGTGTTGGTGGTAGATAATGGCATGTATAGAATATGATAGTGGTGTTGGTGGTAGATAATGGCATGTATAGAATATGATAGTGGTGTTGGTGGTAGATAATGGCATGTATAGAATATGATAGTGGTGTTGGTGGTAGATAATGGCATGTATAGAATATGATAGTGGTGTTGGTGGTAGATAATGGCATGTATAGAATATGATAGTGGTGTTGGTGGTAGATAATGGCATGTATAGAATATGATAGTGGTGTTGGTGGTAGATAATGGCATGTATAGAATATGATAGTGGTGTTGGTGGTAGATAATGGCATGTATAGAATATGATAGTGGTGTTGGTGGTAGATAATGGCATGTATAGAATATGATAGTGGTGTTGGTGGTAGATAATGGCATGTATAGAATATGATAGTGGTGTTGGTGGTAGATAATGGCATGTATAGAATATGATAGTGGTGTTGGTGGTAGATAATGGCATGTATAGAATATGATAGTGGTGTTGGTGGTAGATAATGGCATGTATAGAATATGATAGTGGTGTTGGTGGTAGATAATGGCATGTATAGAATATGATAGTGGTGTTGGTGGTAGATAATGGCATGTATAGAATATGATAGTGGTGTTGGTGGTAGATAATGGCATGTATAGAATATGATAGTGGTGTTGGTGGTAGATAATGGCATGTATAGAATATGATAGTGGTGTTGGTGGTAGATAATGGCATGTATAGAATATGATAGTGGTGTTGGTGGTAGATAATGGCATGTATAGAATATGATAGTGGTGTTGGTGGTAGATAATGGCATGTATAGAATATGATAGTGGTGTTGGTGGTAGATAATGGCATGTATAGAATATGATAGTGGTGTTGGTGGTAGATAATGGCATGTATAGAATATGATAGTGGTGTTGGTGGTAGATAATGGCATGTATAGAATATGATAGTGGTGTTGGTGGTAGATAATGGCATGTATAGAATATGATAGTGGTGTTGGTGGTAGATAATGGCATGTATAGAATATGATAGTGGTGTTGGTGGTAGATAATGGCATGTATAGAATATGATAGTGGTGTTGGTGGTAGATAATGGCATGTATAGAATATGATAGTGGTGTTGGTGGTAGATAATGGCATGTATAGAATATGATAGTGGTGTTGGTGGTAGATAATGGCATGTATAGAATATGATAGTGGTGTTGGTGGTAGATAATGGCATGTATAGAATATGATAGTGGTGTTGGTGGTAGATAATGGCATGTATAGAATATGATAGTGGTGTTGGTGGTAGATAATGGCATGTATAGAATATGATAGTGGTGTTGGTGGTAGATAATGGCATGTATAGAATATGATAGTGGTGTTGGTGGTAGATAATGGCATGTATAGAATATGATAGTGGTGTTGGTGGTAGATAATGGCATGTATAGAATATGATAGTGGTGTTGGTGGTAGATAATGGCATGTATAGAATATGATAGTGGTGTTGGTGGTAGATAATGGCATGTATAGAATATGATAGTGGTGTTGGTGGTAGATAATGGCATGTATAGAATATGATAGTGGTGTTGGTGGTAGATAATGGCATGTATAGAATATGATAGTGGTGTTGGTGGTAGATAATGGCATGTATAGAATATGATAGTGGTGTTGGTGGTAGATAATGGCATGTATAGAATATGATAGTGGTGTTGGTGGTAGATAATGGCATGTATAGAATATGATAGTGGTGTTGGTGGTAGATAATGGCATGTATAGAATATGATAGTGGTGTTGGTGGTAGATAATGGCATGTATAGAATATGATAGTGGTGTTGGTGGTAGATAATGGCATGTATAGAATATGATAGTGGTGTTGGTGGTAGATAATGGCATGTATAGAATATGATAGTGGTGTTGGTGGTAGATAATGGCATGTATAGAATATGATAGTGGTGTTGGTGGTAGATAATGGCATGTATAGAATATGATAGTGGTGTTGGTGGTAGATAATGGCATGTATAGAATATGATAGTGGTGTTGGTGGTAGATAATGGCATGTATAGAATATGATAGTGGTGTTGGTGGTAGATAATGGCATGTATAGAATATGATAGTGGTGTTGGTGGTAGATAATGGCATGTATAGAATATGATAGTGGTGTTGGTGGTAGATAATGGCATGTATAGAATATGATAGTGGTGTTGGTGGTAGATAATGGCATGTATAGAATATGATAGTGGTGTTGGTGGTAGATAATGGCATGTATAGAATATGATAGTGGTGTTGGTGGTAGATAATGGCATGTATAGAATATGATAGTGGTGTTGGTGGTAGATAATGGCATGTATAGAATATGATAGTGGTGTTGGTGGTAGATAATGGCATGTATAGAATATGATAGTGGTGTTGGTGGTAGATAATGGCATGTATAGAATATGATAGTGGTGTTGGTGGTAGATAATGGCATGTATAGAATATGATAGTGGTGTTGGTGGTAGATAATGGCATGTATAGAATATGATAGTGGTGTTGGTGGTAGATAATGGCATGTATAGAATATGATAGTGGTGTTGGTGGTAGATAATGGCATGTATAGAATATGATAGTGGTGTTGGTGGTAGATAATGGCATGTATAGAATATGATAGTGGTGTTGGTGGTAGATAATGGCATGTATAGAATATGATAGTGGTGTTGGTGGTAGATAATGGCATGTATAGAATATGATAGTGGTGTTGGTGGTAGATAATGGCATGTATAGAATATGATAGTGGTGTTGGTGGTAGATAATGGCATGTATAGAATATGATAGTGGTGTTGGTGGTAGATAATGGCATGTATAGAATATGA